ATGGAATGCATGGAAAAATTTGAAAATTTACTTGAATATAATTCACTAAAGTTTTTATTAGTCATATTAATGACAGCAATTTATATAATAGCACTTTATATATTTTATATATAACTTATTTTAAATTATTTAAGTTTTATATTATAGGATTTGATTATTATTTTTTAATAAATCAGTTTTAAATTAAAAAGTATTTGGTAATAATTATTTTAAATAATTTTTACTTTAATTCATTCTATGTGAATTTAAATATTTTAATGATTATTTCATAATTCTCAGTAATTATTAATTGTTCTTATTTATAATGATCATTTTCAGTTAACATATTTATTCATACATTTAGAAAATTGCTATGTAATTGATATTTGTATTTTTATCAAAATTTAGCAAATGTAACAATACTTAAATGAAGAATTCAATTCATTAAATGGATTTGTATAAGTATGGGAGGTAGGCAACTATAGATTTATTGTTACTTTTTTAATTTATATTTCAAATTATATAAATAGGCAACTTTTTTTTTTTTTTTTTAAGTAATTAATATATTTAAACGAAAACAGGAATTACATGTATTATTTGACAGTTATCTTAATTAATAGCATATAAATAATACAACATGCAATTTTTGTTTTCTTATAATAAATTATAAAGGTTTTCAAAAATTGAATATTCTAACTAATAATAATAATAATAATTTAAATTCTTTATCTGGAAGATTTGAATATAAAAACTTAAAACAATTTAATATTTTAAACAAAATTATTTATAAGAAAGTTTATTTCTTTTCTCCCAGAACTGAATTTTACAGATCTGTGATAACTGTATTATTAATTATTAAAAAAGTGGATCAAGTAGAGAGTTGTATTGTAAATCACTAAAAAAATAGATCAAGTTATATATCAGTTTGTAGTCTGTTTTTATGCATATATATTTTTGATATTAAAAAAAAGTTGATTTTACATATTATTAAATTTATATAAATTGCAAGTCACAAAATTTTTTAATGATTAATCTGAATAACTGATAATTGAGGAAACCAAAAATTTCATTTAAGAAATGTTTTTGACTCCATTTAAGTCATCTTCAGTTTGAATACTATGTTAAAGAACAGTAATGGAATATAATTTTAAAATGAACTTAACAGAATTACTTTAAATGGGACTTTTAATTTATGTTTAATTTACTTTGAAACATGTGATTTACAGTTAAGAAATATATTTATTATGTTTTTATTTTAAGATTCTGTAAATACAAATTAGTGGAGAGATAATAACTATGTTAATACAATGACTAATGTATTAGGTTAGACCTGTTAACATCTTTTACAAATTTTTGAGAAGTCTCTGCTGTCAAGTACTAGTCACCAAGTTATACATAATGTTGTAGCATCCTTAGTATTAATTACTTTAATGCATCTGAATAAGGAGTATCTGTATATCTGCTCTAGGATACTGATCAGGAAGCATTCTTTGCATTTCTCAATGAGAATTGGTTTGTTCCAGAAGTCTTCTATTTCATAATCTCACATTCATGTGTAAGCAAAGTACTGATAGTGTCTTGACCATAGCTTCTTGATAAAAAGCTATACAATTTTGGCGTGAGTTTTATTTATCTATTTCTGTGTCTTGACCATATATACTGAATGAAGGTTTTCATTTATTCTCTTGGCAATCAATCTTGTATTTGATCTGATGTAAAAATATTTTTGCTGTGTTTGACCAATTTTAAGGCATATTCATGTGATATTAAAAGTTTGCTAGTTTGAGCTTTATTGCAATGAAGAATGTTCATTATTAAAAGAGACATTATTATTAGTTTACATTACCCACATAAGGAGCTGCCTCTTTTTTATTTTTTAGTGATAGTAAGGAAGCAGATATTAAATTTGTGTGATATAGACAAAAATTATTTTCTTTGCATAGATTGCAAAGAAAATAAACTCCAAAATTAGAATAAACAATATAACTACAAAATTTATATTTTATTTATTTATGGCCTAAGTATATAATCATTAGAGAAAATTAATAGTAATGTCTAGTGAATACAAATCAAATAATAATATAAAATGTTAAAGTAAATTTTAGATAAATTAGAATTGTTTTTTATATTATTTTATTTGTTTATTGGCTTTTATATAAGTTAATAAACTACTAAAGAATTTATAAATTATTATTATTTCCTTTAAATTGTTTTGAATGATATAGTTTCAGTGCTTTGTAAAAATACTATTGTACAAAATTATATAGTTATGCATGAGCAGATGACTTTATTATTAAAGTTTTACATACATAAACTGTAATTATTTATTGCATGCATCATTTAGATTATTCATTCAAATTACAATAAATTGTATTGTACTTAGTTGTTCATTATTTATCTTTTGATTTATTAGTAGTAAGATTGTTGAGAAGAATATAATAATATGTTAAACATTATGGTTAAAATAATTTTTAATAAAGTTTTTTTTTTTTTTAAATTACTATTGCATTTCTATTAAAATGATAACCTCAGATAGTAGTTTATATTTTGCTATATTTTTTATTGTTATTTATATTGTTTAAATTCTTTTATTAAAAACTTTGTAGAATTTAGCAAAAGCAAAAATGCTGTTTGGAATAATATATACCTTTAAAATTCAGAAAACACCATTATTTACATCTTGATTACTTTTGCTAANAAATTTATTTATTGCATTTTATACATGGATGTTTATAGAACAGATATATATTAAAAATTTATTAAAACTTATGGAAAACTGATTTGATATACCACTAATTTAGAAATTTCTAAACTAAATGATTGACAAGATAAATTTTCAAATTCTAAAAAAGAAGCATTGCCACTTATTTTTGAATTATATATTTTTGCATTATGTCAACTATAATTCATTAAATTTTCTTTTATTGAAAATTTTAAGGAGGTTCTAAAACTCTTTAATTCATAAATTGTTTTTGTTCTGAAGAAGATGCAATTAGTGAAATCTTAGAATTTCTATTAAAAGCAAATGTGAAAATATTCATTGTTAACAGAAGGTACAAGAAAGACAGATTTTTGTCACTTTAGTTATTTCACATAATCATTGATCATTAAATTATTCTGTTGTGTCATGTAAATATATATCCTTCAGTTTTGTTCCATCATTTCTCTGTTTTTATTTGAATATAGAATAATAAATTGAAATGTCATTTATTTAGGGACACATATTTAAAAAAATTAGAATTTTTTTATTTAATGTCTAGTATATTGAAATTTAATTGCATTTACATATATTGAAATTTATTAAAGAATTAAATTAAATTAGAAAGAATTAAAGAAATGAAATTCTTGAAATAAAAAATTATAACTACAGTATAATATTCTTTGTGAACCTCTTGCTCATCTGAAATAATCTATAGAAATAATCTCCAAAGGGCATTCAGATATTACATAAGTATAACTTCTTTTCTGTTTTACTTCTCTCTTTCCCTATGTAGGGATGTAACCAGAAATTTCTGAGTGTGAATCACCTGTATCACTAATGGCTTGAGTAGACTTAGCATTAGATAGGAATGCTATTGTAAAAATGCAATAGCCCAAGATCACTAACAACAATTTTTGTACAAGAAACTGCCATATCAATATGTCAGTTTTTTATACAATGATTGCATGCCATATAGAAAACAATGATACACATGACAATGCTCAGTTAAAAAAAAAGAAAACACTGTATAAGAACAAGTATTAAATTTTATTCTTTACTACTGGCTGTTCATGTAGCCTAGTATTTGAGTGTAATATGTTTGTTTTTTTGTTTTATTCAGTGGTCAACTGCTTGTGACTTTTGAAATTATATATACATTTAAACTCATACATAGTGGCAATGGGGACTGGCAGAGAGTGAGCAGTGGAAGAGCATTAGTGTTAAAAATGCTGCTCCTTGCTGCCCTGTGTGGCTACATCCTTGCCTATATAAATAATCTTAAGCACTATGTTATCAATTATATTCATATATTCTCTTTCTATATTTATTACAATAAGACAGTAAATTAGATGCAATAATTATTATATCAACTTGTATAATAAGAACATCAATATTTACAATTTTGATAAAGTAAGAAATAGATGTAGAGTTATAAATTATAAATTTTTTATAATTAACATTTTTTAATACAGCTACAATCTGCATTGTTATAGCAGTTTTGAACATAACCAGTGTTTTGTATAAGTTATATGCAAGTATTGACTTGACACTCTTCTCCATATAAGCAAGGGTAAGATTTTCATTTCTTCCCTTCTTTCAAATGCTTATATAATATTTCATTGTCCCTGAAAAAAGTGAACACAAAAAAAAATTTTGTTGTGTTACCTGTTACTGATATTATTTTTAGTAGTTTTAAAAAGATAATCTGTAATTATTTTAAACATAATAATGTTATATAATCAACACAAGTCTGAATTAGGAACTAACTTTTAATTTAATGGCTTATATTTTTGTAGTTAAAAATTTTTAAACCAGAATTATATATTTTACTGGAGTTGTTCTGAAGATAAAAAAAAAAGAGAAATACTTTTTGTAAAGTAGCCAGTTCATGAAAACTGTTTGACTTTTCAAATTGTATTGTGAAAATTTGATTTCTAACAATTTTTTAATTAAACAAAATAATATTACAACATAGTTTCTTTAACAATTAATGAAACTATGCTGTAATATTGCAAATTATTGTTACTCCAAAAGTAAAATTATCATGGAAATTTTCTCAAAGATTGAGTTTAATATTTTATAATTCTGATTTTGGCTTAAGCTATATAATATATATGACTTAATTATAAATGATTTAGTTATCAAGACATTTCTGTCATTTCATTCTCATTTGTTATATATGAGAATGAAAATCACTTGAAATAAAATAAAATTTGAATTCATTTGAAAAAGTTTGCAGAGGAGGAAAAGAATCACATATCAAATTTTTATAATGATATTTGAGAGTATTGCCTATTGATCTGTAATTTATTGATGCTTGTAGCATTTATTTCTGAAGCTCTTAAAAAATATTGGAAAGTGCATAATATGTAATCCTTTTATTTGTGAAATGTAAACTTATTTTACATAAATTCAGAAATCTAGGAAGTCAAGAAGTGGATACTGTTCATCCTGTCCAAATATTTGACAAATTTATGTGATAATGTTGAATTAGATATATAGCAATTCAGATGTCAACATTTTATTTTTTCTGTAAAATAAAAAAGTAATAATTTCATTATTAAGAATGAAACAATTACGAACTGTTTCTTCATCTTTGAATTGTTAAAACAGAATATGTAAAAAAAAATTATTAATTTTTTTATTTGACAATATTGTATATATCATCAATCTGATTATAATAAAAATGTTTTAACTTTGTCATTTAAATCCAATATTTGCTCTATTTTGAAAGTAAATTAATGTTTTATTGTGCCAGTTATTCATGACAACTATTTGAATATTAGAATTTAAAGTTGCAAGATATATTTATGATCTACTCTGGATAAAATCAAAATGAAAAAATTAAGTAATTATAGAACAGAACAATATATTATTATTTATATTATTAGATTCTTTAAATTATACATTTTATAGCAATCTGAAAATTAAATTTTACATTTTTAAGTACACTTGATTATATATTTTATACAGTATATAAGTAAATAGTTTTATATATATACAATATACTAATCTCTTGTTCCAACAAGAGTTAAGTATATCTCATAGTTAACAACAAAAATTTTAAATTAAGTATATATTAACTGTTTTTTTTAATACAAATCCAAATGTTAATTTAAATTATTCAAATTATTTAAAAATTGAGAAAAGGATACTCTGCATTTTAGGTTGAGTAAATTTTAAAAAATACAATGTCAATTAAAGTATTTATTTATATAATCAAGCACAAATGAATTTATTGGAATTGAATAAGTAAATTCACACTTTTTTAGAATGAACTAGATTTTTATATCTATATATCTTGAAGTTCTTTAAAATTTATACAATCAAGAATCAACACTATATTGAAAAGGAGATAGAAAATGATGATCAATCAAGACTTTAATTGATATTCACTTTTTACTGCTACTTACTGGAGTTTACTCTTTTAAAATTACTTCCCACTAAGCATTTTCAGACATTTTGTCCATCATCAGACAGTTTGTTGGGATAGAGTCTAGGGAAAAATAATTTAATTTGTATTTATAACTTCTAAAATTTACTTAATTAATTTGTAAAAGAACATTATAGGAGTATTAATTCTATATTTTTAGACTATAACAACTATTTTCACATGAAAAATAATTAAAATTTTGACAGCTATATTGAGAATTTCAAACTCACATTTATAAGATTATATATGAAAAGATATATTAAATTAATTTGAAGGAAAAAGTGGATCATTTGGC